TGAGTCACTTCACTTTTTGCTTTCATGACCTTGAATTTGATGAGGCCCTCGGGCCAGTTGCTTTCTTAATGTCACACATTCTGGATTAGCCTAATGGTGTCCTCACCGCAAGATTGAAATGAGGCATCTGTGACCAGAACTTTCCATGCTGAGAGTCCTCCAATGAATCCACCCTAGATCTCAGAGTTGGTTTCCACCAGCCAGGGGGGACGGAGAGGTCAAGATGACCTTGTGAATCAGACAATGGACACACACATGCTGGACACCCCTGCTTGAAGGGTCAGACGGTATTAAAACAACAGCTTCAGGTCAGGGCTGTCCTGCCATTTCATCGTGATGAACACGAGGCCATTTCACTACCCAGTGGCCAGAAACCAGATCACTGCTGAGCTCAGAGAGAGGAGACCCAGTGCAGGGTGAGAAGGGGGCGGGGCGGGGGACAGGAGAGAGTGACCACACCCTGCAGGAAGATGCATCAGAGAGGATGATGGGTAGTGCCCTGGGGCCAAAAATTCCCCAGGAAACTGATGGGATTTGGATTCTAGCCAATGGGGGAGGAGGTGTGGGGAAAGACACACCCTACAGGGTATATAAAGCTGAGCCCCTCACATTCTGCACAGAACAGTCCTTGCAGACAGACCTCCTGTGCCTTCTGTCCCAAACCCCAGGGACCTGCCTGTCTCTGGAAGAGGGACCCCCAGCACCCGAGGTGCAATAACACCAAGCTGAGGTTGTTTGGCCTGTATATCCTGTGACTCTGCGACTGCAGCTTGAGTGGCCCACACTCCCTGCAGTGCCTGGACCCTCCTGGGAGCTTGTGAGCAGCCGAGGGAAGGCTGCCAGTCCTCGCCTCCCGCTCCTGCAGAGCCGGGCCTTCCTCAGGCGGCTCCTCAGACAGACAGCACCATGGACCTGGCCGCCTCCCTGGCTGAGCTGCAGGCAGAGGCCAGCTGCCCCGTGTGCCTGGACCCCCTGCGAGACCCGGTCACCCTCGACTGCGGCCACAACTGCTGTGGGCCCTGCCTCCGCCAGCGCTGGCAAGGCCTCCAGGACGTCCTCCCCTGCCCCGTCTGCCAGCACCACTGCCCCTCCAGGGATGCCCACAAGAACTCCCAGCTGTGTGCCCTGACGGACCTCCTGAGGCAGCTGCCCCCCGCCAGGAACAAGAGGAAGAGGCAGGAGGAAGAGGCCCTGTGTGTCCAGCACCACCAGGCCCTGGCCCTGTTCTGTGAGGAGGACCTGGAGCTGCTGTGTGCCCAGTGTGGGGCCTCCTCCCCCCACCGGGGTCACCCCCTGGTACCCCTGGAGCAAGCTGCTGCTCAGCACAGGGAGAAGCTCAAGAGCTCCCTGGAGCCCCTCAGGAAGCAGGTGGAAGATGCCGAAAGGGGCTTAGCCACGCAGGTCTCCAAAATAAGGGAACTAAGCGAGACAGTGGAAGCCCGAAGGAGTGAGTTGTACTGTGACCTAGAGCTCTTGAAGAGATTACTGGGAAGGGATCATGCTAAAATTGATACTCAGTTACTGAGGGAAATGTCAGGTGTTTATCAAAGAGTCACTGAAAGCAGAAACCAGATGTCAGACTACGGCGCCACACTCAAGAGTCTGCTTCGGGAAATCACCGCCCAGTGTGTGCAGACAGACCTGGGGTTACTGAGGGGGGTCAGAAGCAGCCACCTCCAGTGGAGCAGGTACACTACTTTAGAGGCACCAGCAGCCTTCAAATATGAGTTCAAGAAGGGGGATTTTAGTTTCCCCCCACATTACATTGGCCTGAAAACCAGCATGAGCAAGTTTCAGGTGGATTTGACTCTAGACCCTGAGACCGCGCACCACAACCTCATTATCTCACCGGACAGGAAATCCGCCACCTTTACCCACAAAAGGGTGGCACCGAACGACATTGCTCATCCCAAGGCGTTTACCTCCCGCGAGGCTGTCCTGGGCGCTCAGGGGTTCGAGGCCGGCAGGCACTTTTGGCAGGTGGACATCCGAGGCGCGGGTGTGTGGTCCCTGGGTGTGTGCAAGGAATCTTTCCCCAGGAATGGCTTCACAGCTCCTTCCCCCCGCAATGGCTGCTGGCAGTTTCAGCGGTCCACTGGGACACGTCTTGCCCCCCCCACAGTACAGGTTGGCATTTTCCTGGACTACGAGTTGGGAGAGATTTCCTTTTACAATTTGAGTACCAGATCCCATCTGTGTATCCTGAGGGACACGTTCACAGACAGGCTTGTGCCCTATTTCTCTGTTGGAACTTCTTCATCACTTTCCATGACTCTAGTCAATGAATGCTGAGCCCTTGTGACCGCGTCCATGTTCCCCCTCTCTTCACGAAAGTGTTGGAAATACAGAGTCTGAGTCCACATTTGGTGTCTCAGTGTTCATGTTTTCTCTCCCTTCCCCACGGTCAGAGGTCTCAACCTCTGACCCATGCTCCTCAAGAATGAACGTCTAGGGCCTCCCTGGTGGCTCCGCAGGTTGAGCGCAGCGCTGTGAAGCTGTCCACAGCCTCAGTAGCGCCAGTTGGACTCCCGGCCAGCCAGGGAGAGTCCCACATGGCGCACAGACCTCTCCTGTCTCACCTACTGCTCCCCTCAGCAGTGTACTCCCCACTCTCTCTGGTGAATTGTCTCACCCTCCCACACCTGTGGCCTGTACCCCAGTCTTGTATAAATAAATATATCCTTAAAATATATATGTGTGTGTGTGTATGTATATATATATGCACAATATTAAAAAAAAAAGAATGAATATTTCAATAAAACAGAGGAGGGATTTTGTGCTGGGAAGTGAAATATTTGCACCACATTGTGCCTTTTCTCAGGAGTGGAGACAGGACAGTGGCAACCACAGAGCAGGACCCAGCTGGTTATTCCTAAGTTGGCGGCTGACCTCTGGGAAGGGGAGAGTGCTGAGTGTGTGAGGAGAACTTCTGCACACGACCATGGAGTCTGCCCGTGAATTCATGAGCTACCAGCCCTCTAAGTAGCGGGGGCTCTCCCTGAAGCTCGGGGAGAAAGCTCATGATTTGCTTTTTTTCCAGTTTTGTTTGAACCTAAGTTCTCCCTTCTCTGTTGCTTGTCAGGCAGTCAAGTTCTTGGTCTGTTAAAATGAACCTATTTTCTGAATTTCTGGCTTTAGGTCACTGGGCAAATGGACCCCGATCTTAGAGGGGTTTGGTAATGATAGTTCACTGGTGACTGGATTCACAGAGCATCTGAAAAGGTTACTCTCAATGTCCAGTTGCTTCCATTTCAGTGATGCCAAGGTTGAGCACTGGCTTAGGGTAGGGACAGGCTGAGAAATTAATTGTGACTGTCCCCACCAGGATGCTACCCAGTCAACAAATCTAGGCTTAAAAGGGCTAAATAAACACTGAAAGGTAGGACCAAACTACCATTATCTGCAAGAGATATGCTTGTCCTCTAGGAAAGCCAAAGAATCTACACATTAAAAAGGCCAAAGGGGACGGGAACAAGATTATTGTGCAAAAACCTAATATCCCTATGTGTGCAACAAATAAGTATATCCGTGTGTGAGCAAGTAAAGGGAAAGGAAATATTTGAAGTGACTCTTACCCTGCAGCAAAAAATGAAATGACTAGGGGCCTCCCTGGTGGCACAAGGGTTTAAGACGCAGCACTATGAAACTATCCACAGCCACTGCAGCATGAGTTTGATCCCCAGCCAGGAAAGTGACCCACATGGCACAGCAGACCTCTCCTGACTCCCTGCTGCTCCCCTCAGCAGTGTATTTCAGTCAGTCTGTCAGTCTGTTCCCCACTCTGTCTCTGGTGAGTCCTCTCACCACCCACCTCGCCGGACCTCTGGCCTGTACCTCAGTTCTTGAATGCATAATAAATACATCTTTGAAAAAAAATGAAATAACTAGGAACACATCTAACTGTGAAGTGACTGCGAAGTGTATAAGAAAATCATCAACATGTAGTGCAGGAGAGTAAAGAAACCATTAGGAATGTTAAAGAACACTGCACACCCCCGACAGGCAAGACAGCAAAGGTTCAGCCCTCTCCAGGGTGCACTGTGCCGTCACGGAACCCCACAATAATCGCAAGGCCATCACCTTCATCAGGAGCTGTGGACTTACTCGTTCTGCGCAGCTGTGTTCGGAGAGCCGATTAGATGGGCACACCCATCGGGGTACATGGCCCTGGAGCAGGGGCAGCCTGCAGGGTACTCGGCTCCTTCATGCCCTGTGCTCATTAACACCGGGACACACTTGGAAATGTACGTGCTGACGCAGGACAAAAACCATTTAGAAAGAGCTGGTTGCTTGTTGTAGCAATATTGGGGTGGAGGCCAGAGGCACAGGGTGAATCACCAGAGACAAGAGTGGAGACCAGGAAAGCAGAGTTATTGAATTCACTGCAGAAAAGGGCAGCAGGTGAGTCGGGAGAGGTTGTCTGTGCCCCCATAAGGGCTTCAGGCCCCCTTTTATACTCTTGGGGTGTCCGTGTGCCCCAGTTGTCTGCTGCGATGTCTAGTCTTGGGGCTTTGACATTTGACACAGTGTGTCCTGACTCTTGCTCCCTCCGGTGCCTGGGGATCTGCAGGCCAAGGTCAAGGTTATCAGTCTTAGGGCCGTTCCCATAGCAACCCAGTGATTCCTTTATCCACTCAACCTCCCAAGCTTGCCGGCGGGGCGGAGTCGGGGCTTGGTTATTACCCTTGTTAAAAACGTGGGTCACCTTGTTGGGGTTCTAGGAAAGCCAAAGAATCCAGAAATTATAAAGGCCAAAGGCGACGGGAGCAAGATTATTGTGCAAAAACCTAAGATCCCTATGTGTGCAACAGGGATTTCCGAGCGCGAGCAGGTGAAGGGGAAGGAAAGGAGGAGGTTGGCGGGGGAGGGGCCTGGATCCCTCTGAGAAGGGATTCCCAGACGTTCCCCTTCCTCAGCCCCAGCAGGTTCGCGGAGGAAACCAGGATGAAGCGAAGGGACAGGCCGGGACGCGGGCGGCAGCCTCGCAGGACGCAGCTGCATTTTTCGTGAACAGGCCCCTGGGGTCAGACCTGGAGGTGAGTCGGGTTTCCCAAGGGTCTCCACCGGGTCAGAAGCACCAGGTGGGTTTACTTCCACCGCACCCCGAACCCCCGCACTCGGCAGGAGGCGGCTCCTGACTGCTCTGGCCTGACCCCCGGGGCTGCTCCCCGCCGCGACAGCACAGGGGGTACGGGGGGGGGGCGGGGGGGGCAATGCGCCCAGGGCGGGTCTTCTGAGGCCTGTGGAGGCTGAGAGCGCTGAATGAGCTTGTGGACCCCGAAAACACAGACCAGGACAGAGTCTGGGAACACAAAGGCCCCGGTCCCGGGGGGCGCGGGCGGGGCTGGCGGCCGGGAGGAGCCGAACCCCCCGCCAGGGCGCGGCCGGGCCGGGCTGCGCCGGGAGATCGGGCGCGGGTGGGGAGGGCGGGGCGCCCGGGCCGGGACCCGCCCGCAGGGAGGGCGGCGTCGGGAGGGTCCTGGGGCGGATCCCGGCCCGGGAGACCCGCCCGCGGCGGACGAGGCGGCCCGGCCCCTCCCGGCACGGCGCGCCCCCCCTCCCCGCCCGGCCCGCGCGGGCGCCGGCTGCGGCTCGGCAGCCTGGGGGAGCCCGGGCGCCCCGCCGGGGACCCCGCGCCCCCCGCCCCGAGCAGAGCGTCGCGGGCGCACCCCGACAGGTGAGGGCGACCCCGCCGCGCGCGGCCGGGCGGCGCCTCGGCGCAGGGCGAGTGTCCGGGGAGCCCCGAGAGGGACGTCGGGGGCCGCGGCGGGACAGGACGCCGGGGCGGGGCGCGACGGAGCCGCGGCCGGGCGGACCTGCAGGGGCGGCTCCGTCCCGCCGGCGCGCTGGGTGCCCGCCCGGCTCGGGCTCCGGCTCCGCCCGGCCAGGAGGGCCCGGGAAGGGCTGCGACTGGGGGTTCCCGCCGGAGCCGGAGCCCCGCCCGGGCCGCGTGGGGAGCCAGGCCCGGCCCCAGCCCTCGCCGTCCCTGCGCGGGGGGAGTGTGGTGAGAACCGCCCTGGACCTGACGGGGGTCGCTGTCTTTCAGGTTCCGTCCAGCTTGCGCCCTGAGGTTCCGAGAAGACCCACAGAAGCTTCCAGCAGGCCGCGCGCCAGGGCACGAGCAGAGGGTGCTGGGGCTGCAGAGTCACAGGAAGGAGCAGCGGCCCCTTGAGTGGCCGCATTCCCTGCAGCGCCTGGACCCTCCTGGGAGCCTGTGAGCAGCAGACAGAGGCTGCCAGGCCTCGCCTCTCCTTCCGCTCCTGCAGAGCCAGGCCCTCCTCAGGTGGCTCCTCAGACAGACGCCCCCAGCACCATGGACCTGGCCGCCTCCTTGGCTGAGCTGCAGGCAGAGGCCAGCTGCCCCGTGTGCCTGGACCCCCTGCGAGACCCGGTCACCCTCGACTGTGGCCACAACTGCTGTGGGCCCTGCCTCCGCCAGCGCTGGCAAGGCCTCCAGGACGTCCTCCCCTGCCCCGTCTGCCAGCACCACTGCCCCTCCAGGGACGTCCTCAGGAACCCCCAGCTGTGTGCCCTGACGGACCTCCTGAGGCAGCTGCCCCCCGCCAGGAACAAGAGGAAGAGGCAGGAGGAAGAGGCCCTGTGTGCCCAGCACCACCAGGCCCTGGCCTTGTTCTGTGAGGAGGACCTGGAGCTGCTGTGTGCCCAGTGTGGGGCCTCCTCCCCCCACCGGGGTCACCCCCTGGTACCCCTGGAGCAAGCTGCTGCTCAGCACAGGGAGAAGCTCAAGAGCTCCCTGGAGCCCCTCAGGAAGCAGGCGGAAGATGGTCAAAGGCAGTTAGAAATGTATATCCTCAAAACACAGGAACTAAGAGAGAAGCTAGAAACTCGAAGGAAAGCATTAAACTCTGAATTTGCACATTTTAAGTGTTTCCTGGAAAAGGACCAGGATGCCACCGATAACCGGGTATCCCGGGCTCAACAGAAAATCACTGAAAGCAGACAGCAGATGTCAGACTATGGCTCCACACTCAAGAGTCTGCTCAGTGCAATCACCACCCAGCGTGTGCAGACAGACCTGGAGTTGCTGAGGGGGGTCAGAAGCATCCACCGCCGGTGGAGCAGGTGTGTTCACCTGGGGATCCCAGCGGCCTTTAAATACAAATTCAAGAAGCAGATTTGTAGTCTCCCCCCACATTACATTGGTCTGCAAAATATCATGGACACGTTTCAGGTGGATTTGACTCTAGACCCCGAGACCGCGCACCACAACCTCATTATCTCACAAGACAGGAAATCCGCCATCTTTACCTACGAAAGGGTGGCACCGAACGACGTTGCTCATCCCAAGGCGTTTACCTCCCGTGAGGCTGTCCTGAGCGCTCAGGGGTTCGAGGCCGGCAGGCACTTTTGGCAGGTGGACATCCGAGGCGCGGGTGTGTGGTCCCTGGGTGTGTGCAAGGAATCTTTCCCCAGGGATGCCCTGGCACCTCCCTCCCCCCGCAATGGCTGCTGGCAGTTTCAGCGGTCCACCGGGACGCGCCTCCACTCCCCCGTGGTGAAGCTTCGAGTTGGCGTTTTCCTGGACTACGAGTTGGGAGAGATTTCCTTTTACAATTTGAATAACAGATCCCATCTGTGTACGCTGAGGGACAAGTTCACAGACAGGCTCATCCCCTATTTCTCTGTTGGACCCTCCTCTTTATCATTTTCCATGACTCTAGTCATAGATGAAAGCTGAACCCCTGTAAACATGTCTGTGTTCGGGTTCTTCCTCTGTGCATGGAATGTTCTGTAAATAAAGAGTCTGATTCCATTCTTGGTGTCTGAGTGCTCGTGTCTTCCCCGCTCCCCCGTGGCCTCAACCTCTGCCCCCATCTGGGCAAACTGTCAGGAAACCTGCCTGTTGTTCCTTCACTGGCTTTGGGGTTCTTTCTGTGAGGTTCACCCACCCAGAACTCCCCATATGCCTGGTGTGACCTCTATTCTAGCCCAGCAGGCCCCTGCCCCAGGCACAAAGCCTCACAGTGAGGCTGCTGTGGACTCAGCAGCCCTGACACCAGAACCAAGTTTGAGTGGGGTGCATGTTCCCTGTGTGGGGTGACTATGACCTAGAATAAGTGTCATCTCGGGAATTCTGGGGACATTCTAATCTCAGGGAAGTGTATTTTTGCTTTCCAAATATGATCAGACAATTTTATCATTATCTGGAATTGTAGTACTACATTTATGGTTCTCTACTTCTCCTGGGGAGGGTAATCCATTACCAATTCCTTGCAGCCTTAATATTTGCCCCCAAGAAAAGTCACACTCCTGAGTTTCAGAAGTCTCCCACAAATACATGTGCTTTTATTTATATGAAGGAAGAAATTCATGCTTAAAAGCTCTAAGAGAAATGGATCTACATAGGCAAATTTCAAAAACCAATATAGATTAATGGTAAGTTCACTGTGTAAAATACTTAAATAAAATTCTCATATAAATTATGAGTAGGGTATTTCCAAAAAGGTCCAGAAGGAGCTTTGGGATGGGAGTGCTGGAAAGTAGCCTGCAGCCTGCTAGCCCTGGGGGGAAGAGCAGTTTCTCCGGGACCTCAAGTTTGCGCGGTGTGGATTGTGCTGCTAATCGTAAGCGGCCTGATTGGCTACTATTTTTCTTACCTGCTGTTCTCCATTCCTATGCAAGGTCAGAGCTGCCCCATCAGTCATAGGAGCCAAACTTACAAGGTGAATTACCGCCCTTTGTGGAGGGAAGAACACGGGTCCTGCATCTTTCCCCGTGGTGCGGAGAAAATGCCAGTAGCCAGATGAGGAATGAGGTCAGTTGATTTTCTCAAACTGAATTCTCAGCTGATTCAGCTGCTGCCGATGGAATCAACACCTGCTTCCGCTTCCTCCTAATCTGGTTTGGTCACGGCTGCCTGACCTTAATCCCAGGCACCTTGAGACCACCCACCTTTGCAAAATGGCACCCTAAAGTTTCTGCCCTCACGCTCCAACTTCTAACTCCAGGCTGGCATTGGGGGCCAGCCTCAGGCCCACAGGGCATTCCTTTCTTTGCCACAGGTAATCTGCTCACTTCTTCTGCAAAATCCTTTGAAAGTTACACATGTCATAACACTTTCCCAGTATATATTTAAGCCTTAGTGTCCTAAAAATGAGGAAGTCTCAAATAAAGTCACACGATACTGTGAATTAAGAAAGGAAATGCTTTTCATGGGTACATGACATCCTCTCAGTGGGTCCACAGCTTTTTCTGAGGGCTTGTTCTCTTGTGACATTGAGGCCCTCAGGCCGGCTGTCTTTCCAACTTTCACACATTCTGGATTAGCCTAATGGTGTCCTCACTGCTAGATTGAGATGAGGCATCTGTGACCAGAACTTTCCATGCTGAGAGTGCTCCAGTGAATCCACCCCAAGATCTTGTTAGAGGGAAATGATGTCCTGAGTTAATCCCATACAGGCTTTGTGGACCCCACCCCCACTCCAGACTAAAGCCATCAAAACACTCGGAAAGACAAATCCCGTCACCACCAAAGGGAAGGTGGCTGGGACTTGAGGGTGGAGTTGGGCAGCCAGGTTGGGTATAAAAACCAAACACGTGGGCCTGGGGGACTTGCTATCGCTCGCCTCCTGGCTTCACGGCTCCTGGCTGGCGGCCAGCTCTCAGAGCGCCATTTGGGATTCCAGATGGGCGGATCGGGTAGGACTCATTTAAAACTTTGTCTCCCACTTTTCTCCCTGAGCTGTACATTTCCCCATTTCCCCTTCCCTTGTGAATAAACCTTTTATGAACCTTTCGCGTGTGCCTGCAGCAGAGCATTGATAAGTCCTTTTTAGCGTGCGGGTGAGGACCCACAGTCAGGCACCCCGTTTTGTGTCGGGGCTGCCCTATAACAATCTCAGAGTTGGTTTCCACCAGCCTGGGGGGACGGAGAGGTCAAGATGACCTTGTGAATCAGACAATGGACACACACATGCTGGACACCCCTGCTTGAAGGGTCAGACGGTATTAAAACAACAGCTTCAGGTCAGGGCTGTCCTGCCATTTCATTGTGATGAACACGAGGCCATTTCACTACCCAGTGGCCAGAAACCAGATCACTGCTGAGCACAGAGAGAGGAGACCCAGTGCAGGGTGAGAAGGGGGCGGGGCGGGGGACAGGAGAGAGTGACCACACCCTACAGGAAGATGCATCAGAGAGGATGATGGGTAGTGCCCTGCGGCCAATCAGTTTCTCCAGAATTGATGGGATTTGGAGTCTAACCAAGGGAAGATGAGGGTGGGGAAGACACACCCTACAGGGCATAGAAAGGACACACCCTAAAGGGGGGGGGACAGACACACCCTACAGGGTATATAAGGCTGAGACCCTCACATTCTGCACAGGACAGTCCCTGGCGAGCAGGCCTCCTGCATGCTTGTTCTGGAACCTGGAGACCAGGCTACTCTGCTGGAAGCAAAGTCCAGAGCACCTTGAGGACCCTGTGCAGTGTCCCAGGGACACAGGTATGTAGGCCACCACGTGTGCCCATCTGAGGACTAGGGAATGCCTCTGGCAGTAATGGGGTGCTGACCACACTGTAGGCTTTGGGCGGCTTCAAAGCAGCCAGGAGCCGCCCTTTGGGCCATTAGTGGACTTTCTGGGGGTGGGGGGGTTGCAGTAGGGGGAGGCGTGACAATCAGCAGGGTTTCCCTTTTGTAATTATCAGCAACTGCCTTTCCTAATTAAATTACCATTTTAATATCCTGTGTTGAAATTATTCAACCAGGGGCATCCTGTGAAGACATCCAGCAAGTGGGGCCTCGGTTTCACACCCCTTTCCTGTGAAGCACTTCTACTCCTCACAGGCCGGTGTCTAAATGCTGTGCTGAGGATCCTTCCCATGCAGGGCCCTTAGCATCATCGATATCCTCCATCCCAATGGGAGACAATTCGTTTTTTGCTTGTAACTTCCTGTATTGAATCTAGAACAAAAACCTGGTCAAATATTGCCAGTGAAATCTTGCCCTTTTTCTCTTTCCTGTTTTCTTCTCAAGCCCTGTTGTCCCTTGCTCTGAAACTTGGAGAATTGCCATGCACTCGCCTGCGCGGGGGGGTTGCACTTGAGTCCTGCTGTCTTGTCCCATCGCTACTTGGACTGCAGCTTTTTCCCGGGAAGAGGACCTCTCTGCTCGCTCCTTCCCGACTGCGTTGAGAGCTTGCCATGGCTGGGGTGAACCTCCCGGCGCCCACCGAAGTCAACTACAGGAACATGCGGTTCCTCATCACTCACAACCCATCCAGTGCCAGGCTGGGCCAGTTCGTGGCGGCGCTCAAGCAGCACGGGGTGACCACCCTGGTCCGAGTGTGCAAGGCCACCTACGACGCGCGTCCCGTGGCGCGGGCAGGCATCCGTGTGGTGCACTGGCCTTTCGAGGACGGGGCGGCCCCCTCCCAGCAGATCGTGGACGACTGGCTGAGGCTGGTGAGGGCGCAGCTGCAGGACGAGGCCGGGGGCCGCATCGCCGTCCACTGTGCGGCGGGCCTGGGGAGGGCGCCGGTCCTCGTGGCCCTGGCCTGCATGGAGGGCGGGATGAGCTGTGAGGACGCGGTGGCCTTCATCAGGCAGAAGCGGCGCGGAGCTTTCAACAGCAGGCAGCTCCAGTACCTGCAGCAGTACCGCCCGAAGATGCGGCTGCGCGGCCGGAGAGCCCTGGGCCGCAGAGACAAGTGCTGTGTCCAGTGAGTGGCCGGGGGGGAGCGGGCCCGCGTGTCCTCCATAGGCCGCGCGGGGGAAGAGGGGCTCCCACGGGTCACGGATGCAAGTTTATGGGCACAGGCAGGGGTGGGGGGTAGGGCTGCCACCCCCGATTTGGGTGTCGATGCTCCTGAGTGGGCGCAAAGGCTTCCTGTGGGTCCACGTGCGAGGCCTGCGTCCCCCTGCTCGGCGCCCTGCTGGGCTGCACGATGTCTGCCCCGGGCCAGAGTCGCGTCGATACAGAAGAATCGGTGAGCCAGCAGCGCTCAGCAGGCCCTGGTGGGTGTCCCTGGCCTGGCATGCCCAGCGCACCCTCGCCCCCCTGGGGCTCGCTGCAGGCCGCAGTGACCTACCGGCCCTCTGGCTGCATCTCCAGGCTTGGGTGGGTTTCTCTGCATCCAAGCCCTGCAGGGATTAGCCGGTGCCTCCGTCTGACTGGCGCTGTGCTTTGTGAAAACCTCCATTTTGAACATCCTCTTTGTGCAGGACCTCGAGTCATTCATGGCGGAACAAAAAGCCTCAGCTTTACTTTTGAGGTTTCTGCTCTGGGGGGCAACAGTGGGGAGGGCTGGACAGGAGTGCGAAGTGGCTGTTCAGTGATTTCAGTCACATCCTGCCTTTGTGAGTGTGTAGAATGTGGTCATAATTAATCTATGCGCTTTGTTGGTGGTGGGTTTTTTGTTTTTTTTAGGAGAAATGCTTTGTTAGGGTAGTCAAAATGACTCTTACTCACAAAATTTTTGAAATTTTTCAATTGTATTTTACAACTGAAGTTGCTTATTAACTAGTTTTTGTAAGGAGTATTTTTTTTTTCTTTCTCACCCAAATCACTCTTGCAAAAAGAAAAGAAACAGATTATGGCTAATGAAGCGCGCTGATCCCTGACATTTTATATGCCTGTTGAACTTTTCTCAGGGCCTTTCTCCCAGGCCTTCCTCAGGCGGCTCCTCAGACAGACGCCCCCAGCACCATGGACCTGGCCACCTCCGTGGATGAGCTGCAGGCAGAGGCCAGCTGCCCCGTGTGCCTGGACCCCCTGCGAGACCCGGTCACCCTCGACTGCGGCCACAACTGCTGTGGGCCCTGCCTCCGCCAGCGCTGGCAAGGCCTCCAGGACGTCCTCCCCTGCCCCGTCTGCCAGCACCACTGCCCCTCCAGGGATGTCCACAGGAACCCCCAGCTGTGTGCCCTGACGGACCTCCTGAGGCAGCTGCCCCCCTCCAGGAACAAGAGGAAGAGGCAGGAGGAGGAGGCCCTGTGTGCCCAGCACCACCAGGCCCTGGCCTTGTTCTGTGAGGAGGACCTGGAGCTGCTGTGTGCCCAGTGTGGGGCCTCCTCCCCCCACCGGGGTCACCCCCTGGTACCCCTGGAGCAAGCTGCTGCTCAGCACAGGGAGAAGCTCAAGAGCTCCCTGGAGCCCCTCAGGAAGCAGGTGGAAGATGCTGAGAGGGGCTTAGCCACGTAAGTCTCCAAAACACAGAAACCGAGAGAGACAGTGGAAGCTCAAAGGAGTTGTGCTGTGAACTAGAACAATGTAAGGGTTTCCTGGGAAAGGAGTGCTGTGCTACTGAGACTGGGGTTCTGAGAATAATGTCGGGTATTTACCAAATAGTCACTGAAAGCAGAAACCAGATGTCAGACTATGGCCCCACACTCAAGAGTCTGCTTGGTGCAGTCACCACCCAGTGTGTGACTAGGGAATGGGTGTGTCCACCTCCTCCACTGGAACACACCCTGATCCCCACACAGTATGCCTTCGAGTGGGTGTTTTCCTGGGCTATGAGCTGGGAGAGATGTCCTTTTACAGTTTGAGTACCAGATCCCATCTGTGAATGCTAAGGGACACGTTCACAGACAAGCTGGTGCCCTGTTTCTCTGTTGGACCTTGTTCTTTATCATTCTCCATGATTGTAGTCACCGATGAGAGCTGAACCCCTATACACATGTCTATGCCCATGTTCCTCCCCTGTTCATGGAAAGTCCTAGAAATAAAGTCTGCCCATGTTCGGTGTCTGAGTGCTCATGACTCCTCTACCCCCCTATGAGTACAATGTCAGGAAACCTGATGCCTCCTCATGGGGTGGGGGGTACTGGGGGGGGCAGCAGGAAGGCCCTGTCCCTAAAGCCCTCTGTCCACCCTCTCACCCTCCAACGTGCAATGCTGCCCCTGTCAAGTATTCAGTCCTATGACCTGCTCCCTTCTCATCCATTTGAGCCCGGCAGTGAGGAATAAATCCTCTCCCCTCCTGGTGTGCTTGTGTCATCCGTGGTCCTGACATCAGATCCAATGTGTTGTGGGGTGCATGTTCCCTGTGTGGGGTGACCGTGACCTAGAATATGTGTCTTCTCAGAGGCATTCTGGGGACATTCAAATCCCAGGAGAAATGGTATTTGGAAAAAATCTAATTTCATTTCATCAGTAATTTCAACCTACTAAGCAGCCAGTATATGCAAAGACTGGTCAGTGTGACAACCTTTGGGAATCATTTGGGGTTTTTTTCACATTATTTTTTTATTAGGGTAAGTTTGGTTTACAGCACTGCATAGGATTTAGGGGTATCAGCCACACCTCTTTAGATCTTCGTGACAGCACCACACCTATGGTTTCAGCAGTGAAGAGGGGCCTGAAAAATGACTGCTCTTTGAGAAGGGAGGAAACAAAGAAATTTTCCTTGATTTTCTTGGTTCACACATGCATTGAATGCAGGAATATAGATTTTAGAACAGTGTCATCGGTAAAATAATCAAGGTTTCTGCCTTGCCTGTTAGAGCTACAGAATTGACTTCTTCCATTTATAGATGACACAGCAGCTCGTCACCATTCCAAATAGTACTAGCGAATACATACTTTGTTCTTTCCAGACACAAAATTAAAGTTATTTTCCCTTCCTTTGTTTCTGACTTGGCTTGGTGCTCATGGGTTGGGAAGGATCGAGGTCTCTGCCTCCATGTTGTAACCCCATGCATATTATTTTCTCATCTTCACCTCAGAATCCAAGATGGTTACTGGAGCTCCAGCCATCACACCCACATCCAGTCCAGCCAGAGGGAGAGATGGGAGGGAAGTAAAAGGAGCCCCTCCTACCACGGAAACACTGCCTGGCTGTTGTAGAACTATTTCCATTTCCATCCAAGAGCTGGAAACTGCACTACCTAAAAATAGGAGAGGTTGGGAAATGCAGAGTCGATCAAAAGTTTCATTAGCCCACGAAACCCGTGCTCACAAAACAGCCTCCCTGCTACCACTTACAGTTACAAATGGAGGACCATTTGCGGTTGTGCTCAGGGCCAGTTCATGTGCAGTGTTTCACGTGAATTACTCTTCATTCAGGCGTAGGTTTTCATGCGCATTTCTAGCCAGGTCTTAAATTTAACTCAGCCAAGTGTCTATTTTAAAGGACCGCTCTCCCCAGGGTCGCCTGTTAAAGGCAGAGCACAGGGCTCCTCAGTGGTGCCGTGGAAAGCAGCGCCTCAGCAGCTTAGGTAACCAAGGTGCGATCCCGCAATCAGCTCAGCCGTCTCCTCTCATGCAAAAGCATCTTCAGCTCCCCAAGCCCTGACCTGAATCCTTTCTCTACAGCCCCTTCCTGTTCTCCCTGGGCTCAGCTGAAAGAGCCGGGCCATCTGCCCCCTGCTGGTCAGACACCCGGTTGTGTCCACTCTTTCTAGCTCGCGCCTCTCCTCCACCCCTCACTGCCACAAGCTCTTCCTGCCCCTCTCCTTCTGCACCTGCCCTCTCTCCCTTCTTGTGTATCAGGTTGGTCTTCCCTGCAATGAGGGCATTGCCCCTGCTCGGATGCCCCCCAGCCCTCACAGAACCAGGCCACACTCCTGAACCCAGCCCCCAACCTCCAGCCACATGAAGAATCCAGAACCTGCAGGCGCTCTGCCTCCAGCTGCTGACACTTCTTTCTAACACAGACCCTGTTTTAGGGAGCGATGGGTCACCCCCAGACTGCCAGCAGCCTTCACCCTTGCACATGCTGTCCTCCCAGGCCGGAAGGCTCTCCACCTCCCCCACACCCCTTCTTCCCTCCTCTGCCCGCCTGGCCTCAGAAGTCAGCCCACACCTGGTCCTCTCCTACTACCCCTGCGATGACAGCGAGGCCCAGCTCCCCATCCACTCCCTTAGAACTTTCCAGGTACGTCCTAGATTGTACTTTAATGTTTAAAACTGTTTCCTCTAGATGGCAAGCCATTCCGGAATAAGAATTTTTTGCCCCAGTATCTTGTCTATCGCCCAACTACTGATGGGGCCTCAGTCAAATGAAAAACGACACAAACGTCGATGGGGAAAATCTGCGGGACTCCACCGGTGAGGTCCCTGGCGTGTCTCCTTTTGCTCACAAGCAGAGGGTCCCCAGCCTTTCTCTGTCTCGGGCTCAGCAGCTTCCCACAGCCCCTGGGGGGACAATCTGGGGGCCACGTTCACTCTGGGCAGTGACTCTCAGAGGGTGTTAGTGCGGCAGGGGAAGACATGTGCCCCGGGGCCAGGCCACAGAGCACTCAATCCAATGAGGGGCGGAGCGAAGGAGGTTTAAGAAAAGCAAAACCACGGGATTCGTCAGGGCAAAGGCTGGGTGCCTCGACCGCCCCGCCCAGCTCCGTGGCTGCTGTGGTGGGCAAAGTAAGGAGGATGGGGGAATCGGCCGGGGCATGGGTGGAAGCAAATTCGGGAACATTCTATCATTCATCCAAAGGACTCATTCAGGAAATAAGGAGCAGGAGGCTTGGAGTAAATGTTTCATTGGTCGTGATGATCAAAAGGTAATGGTTAATACACACACTCAGACCTCACCCCAACCGTGCAGGGTGGAAGCATCGCCCGGCCCCCCACCCCCTGCTGGGCTTCTCCAGCCACGCCTGGCACTGGCACATCTGCCCCACCAGGATCTCTGCCCTTGGCTCAGAACTGCTGAGGCTGTTTCGAACTTGCTTCCATCAAGGTGCCTGGATGCTCACAGCGTACAAAGCCAAGGTCCTGACCTGAGTCTGCAGCGGGCAGGGCTGCCCGCCCATGAGTCCTCTCCACTCCCTTTCCCAGACTCTCGTCTCCCCTCTCCCACCCCAGAAACAAATAGGATGGCTTCACGGGTCAATTCTTTACATGTACAAACACCAAAAGCAGAGGAAACGCCCCTGGCCACCCCCCTCCCCCCAAACCCCAGTGCTGGGAGCGCAGCCAGCGGTGGGTGAGGCTGCCTCAGACTGCGGAGCAGCTGGAACTGTCTGGCTGTTCTGGAAGCTTCTTTGGCCTCTGGCCTTTACCTGGAGGCCTCTTCCTTCAGCTCCTTGTTTTTCCGCACCTCTTCCGCGTGCTTGTCCTAGGAGGGAAGGGAGGGGAGAGGCCGGTCACACAAGGCTCCCGGGGCAAGGGGCATGAGAACCCAAGCAGGGCTGGCAGCCACGGGCGTGAAGAGCAGGGTCTGCACAGGCGTCCTGAGGAGGGGCAGAAGGAGGCAGGTGAGACCGCGGGAGGCCGGTGAGCGAGGCTGCTGTAGGCCCAGGGCATTCCTTGACTGTGGCAGCCTCCCGTGGGGACCCGCCAGGCAGCAGCCCCCAGGACCCCAGCCTCGCCCTCCCGCCCTGGCCGACCTGGAGCTCCCCGTGATCACATTCATTGCTCGACTTAGTACAAGAAGCTGTGGGCTGTGGCTTGTGCAGGAGGAGCAGGTGGGACAGACAGACTTCTCGCTGCTGCCCCCCACGCACATGCAAGCTGGTCACTGCTCTGATTTCTTATCTCTCCTCTGAGAGTAGACTGAACCCCCTTGATGAAAGACAAGGGCCCCAAGAGTATGAACTGATTGCAGAATTTTTGGAAATGTCCAACTCCCACTCCCAAAAATGAACTTTCTCTAAGAGAATCCTCTCTGGTTTCACAGCATCATCCAGACACAAAACAGGCAACAACCTCAATGGCGGGTGACCTTGACCCGCCCATCAGGCCTCAGTGCGCTGGTCTCTAAAGAGTGGGGTCCTAACGGGAAGCTCTTTCCCTCGGGGGCTCATCAAGGTCTCCCTCCATGGTCTGCTCCGTCTGGGCCTCGGTTGTCCAGAACAGCCTGCGTGCGGGGCCACACCTTTCTCTCCCTCATTTCCCCCAGCTCCTGGCACATGGTGGGGCTCACAGATACTGCCTCCGCCAGACCTGGGGTCACCACACACAGACAGCCCCAGGGAGCTTGGGGCAGACCCACGAGCAGTGCCGATTTCCAGGACAGACCTTAGGCAATCTGTCCCGCAGAGGCCCTAGAACTTTCCACGGCCCAGGGGACAGTGTCGGGGTGGTGGACTGGGGTACCTTCTTGACCTTGCTGTGCATCAGGAGGTCTTAGGAAGCCCCCTAAACTGCAGGCCCTGGGGCAGTCTCCCTAAGACCCAGTGTTTAGCGGTCTCGGTTGGGCCCGCTTTATACCAAGAAAACCTGCTGCAGAGGGTCAGTGACCCACACTGACACAGGAGCCTCACATCCATCTCTCAGCAGCCTCCTGCCTTCCAGGGCGGCGAAGGTGAGCGAGCAAGGTGCCCGGGAGGGGAGGCCACTGGAAGTTCTGCTCAGAAGTCAGGACTGCTGAGCCCCACCTCGCCTCCAGGGCTCTGCCTCCAGGGCAGCCTCCTGATCTCTCCTCCTGGATCCACCTCCCTTCCCCGAACCCGTCCTCCACCCCCCGGGCTGCTCTAAGGCAAAGACCAGCAGGAGGCTTGGGGCTGGTCTCCCCGACACAAGCACTGGAGGGTCCCCTGGACTCAGGCAAACACCCGGCTGCTCTGAACTGAATCGCCCGCTGTGCACGGGCTCCTGGTGGGGAAGGAGCCGCGTCCTGCCCCCTTCACGGGCTTCTGGTGAAGATGGCGATCTGGTGAACTAAGAGTGCTTGGCTTTCAAGCACCCTATCGCGGGCTCCGTCTCGAGGGTTCGTTTGGGTTTGGTTCGTTTGAGAACCCGTGCCCTGGCCTGCCGCAGCCCCGCCCTTGTACCCGCAAGGGCGAGCTCCAAGCCAGGCCCCACACACGGGGAGGTGGGAGCCGCTCCCTTGCCCGGGTCTGCGCTCGGCGGAGGCCATGCTGCCCGGGGAGGGGGTGGCCGGCTGCAGGGCGCCCGCCACATTCAGACCCCTGGCGAAGAGACCAGGGCCTTCTAGGGCTGTGCCGAGGGCCTGAGCGCGCGGCGACGGGCAGAAGGCGGGGACCGCGCTGCTCACCATGGGACGAGGCCGACCGGGTCCCGCGAGTCACCGCGCAGCGGGCGGCTCCTGAAATAAAACACAGAGCTGGAGCCCCCCCGGAGCTGCCGAGGAACTGGGGCAGCCTCGCGGCTCGGGAAATCAGGCCAGCGTGTTCTCAGGAGCACCTGCTCTGCCGCTGGCACGCGGGCCGACCCCAGCCTCTCACGTTTCTTATATTTAGGTGACACCGTTCGGCTTGCGGACCAACGGCGGCATATTGGGAGCCCCGCGGCTCGCTACGCCCTTGTCAGGACACTGGAGACGAGCGTGTTTCCAACGGGCAGCTGGGCGCATCCTGCCCTTGGCTTGGAGCCAAGAGTTCGAGTCAGCTTCCTCACTAGATCCTCACAGTCCATTCAGGCTGAGGCCGGGACACCCCACAGCTGCGTATCCCCACTTCCTTGCAGGGAACAAGAGTCTGAGCTCCCCGGGACGGTGACTGTGTCAATTGTGTCCTGTGCACAGCATCCCCCAAGGAGCTCCAAAGCAGGGTTCGTGTGCTTATGATTTCCCCAATCATCCCTTGGGATGCTCAAAGGATCCAGCCTAGGAAACATCCCCAGTCCTGCCTGAGCCTGTTCCCTGAACGCCGAGTTTACTCCCCAGGGCAGGAGCGAGGCCCAGGGGTGCTCACCGGCGGCCTCTCACCTTCTCTTGCAGCCGCTCCAGCATGGCGGCGAGGTGGGCCTCTCGGTTTTCCTTGTTGGATTCCATCTTCTGGGCCAGCTTCTCCTTGGCCATCTTGATGAAGTTGTTGTTCTCCTCAATGGCCTTCTGGATCACCTCCCGCTCGTGTTCTCTCTTCTCCGCCAGGTGCTTCAGGAGCTCAGCTTCCTGGTACTGCGGAAACGCAGGGCGACAGAGAGACCCTTGGAGGGGAGTGTGCCGGGGCTTTGGGGCCACCATCAGGACCCACCTCCACGCCCAGGACTCGTCCCCCGGAGCTGGGCCCAGCCCCTCGGCAGGGAGCAAGACCCTGTCTGGGTTCTCCCCCGCGTCCTCAGTTGTCTTGTATCATTGCTGCCATTCATTCATTCATTCACCCACCCAGCCGCAAATAGCAAAAGACATTTCTAACAACTTGGGAAAGAAAAACATCTAATAGAAATATGACATCGTGACTAAACAATCCAGCTGGGCCTGTCCCACACGCCCTGAGAGGTAGAGAGAAGGGCTGTAAAAAGTCAAGGTGGGGGGTGGGGGTATTTTCTTTTAGAAAGATGAAGAAAAAGGCAGAAAGACGGCATCAAAATTGGGCCATAAGGACCTCCAGGAAGCACGGCCACCCCAGGATGAAGGTGAGAAGGCCCCACTGCTTGATGCTCCTCCTCCCTGCCTGCACGGGCGTTTTCCGGAGGACGAGGGCGGATCCCCCAAAGACCATGAGACATTTCAGCCGTGGCCCAGCTCCCCAAAGGATCCCCTGCCTGGGACTTCCCAAGTCATCCCTTGAAACGTTCTAAGGACCTGGCCTAAGGGAAGCATCCACCAGCGACCGCCAGGGTGGAAGCAGACCCCGCCCCACCCCATGAAAGGTCCTCTCCCTGATGGTCTCCTCGCCCCCAAGCTCAGCGTCGCCCGCGTCCGGCAGGTGGCAGGGACCGGCCCCCACGCAGAGCCACCCCGTCCTGGCCAGCTCCCGCCCTCGCGCAGGCACAGCGGGAGGCAGGCGCCGCACTGACCTTCCGTCGCTCCTCGGCTGCCTCGAGCTTCTTCTGGATCTCCTCCAGCGACGGGTCTCGCCGCCGGGGCAGGGAGGCGTTGAACTCGGGCACCCCGTCGAAGGAGGGCGGCTTCAGGATGACTTCGAAGGACTGGCCGGACGTGCACTTGTTCAGCTCGATGACCTCCATGTCAGAAATGACGCACCAGTTCAGGTCCACCGTGTCGGCTGCAGGGGCAGGAAGGGCGAGGCTCACCCCTGCGGGCACCAGGGAGCATGCCCTCACACAGGCGGGGAGACGTAGGTCCCCGGGGCAAGCCCATGACCAGGGCTCTGGGCCTCCTGAGCCTGGCGCCCCAGGTCCCCAGGCTGCAGGGGTGGGGGGCAGGGGCACCGTGAGGTCTCAGCCTCAGAGGGGCCCCGGGACGTGTGGCTAGCACCTGCCGCAGGCTCCTCCCCAGGGGAGCACTCGCTCCACTGTCACCTAGGGTGGCAAACGGGGGCTCGCCTCCCCAGCCTCCCCGCCATGCACTCCTGCCCCCCGCGGTCTGAGGCCCGGCCGGTGAACCCCAGGCCCCTCCTACCCTGCTCTCTTCTTTCTCTCCAGTCAGCGCTGTCTCTCCGCTGGCTTTGATCTATCCTCCGACACTGTCTCCCACACCAGCCTGAACAGAAAAAACAACCTCCGGTCACCCGAGCGCCCCTCTCTCATCCCAGACCAACCCGTCCTTCCTCTGAGCCCCAGAAATCAGAGGTGGCCTTGCCTGAACCCCGCATCGGGACATGGCTGCTCAGCACCCCTGCCAGTTTCGGGGACACAGCGTCCAGGTCCCCCATCACCTGTGCCCGCAGCACAGCTGCCTCAGAGCCTCGGGGCGGCCGAGCACACGCCCTCTCCCACCTCTGGACGCCCCAGAACATTCTCTGCCCGCCACTAGGAGGCTCTGGTGACTTCGCCACTTCTTATCCCCCTTCTAGGCGAGGGCTGACTCTGCCTCCAACCCCCGCCCCCCATACCCCCCCCATAAGTTCCAAGCACCTGCTGGCCAAATGTGTGGGACAGACATGCTCAGCCCCCAGACACAGCAGCCAGAGTTTACTAGCTTGGGAAAGAAGCATGCTGGGGGGGAGGGGGAGTTTCCAGGAAATGGAGGTCAGGGTTGGATTTGGGGGTGCAAGCCATAGGATGCTGAGCCCGGGATCTCCCGACGGCAGCCCCCTACCTTCGTACGTGTAGGATGACTTATTCAGGGGGTCAGCCAGGAAACAGGAGCAGAACAGGGACACCAGCGGGAGCTCCTTCATCTTCTCTTTGTAGGCTGCAGAGACACCCGAAGGTGAGACTGAGCCCTCATGGCCTCAGAAGCCAGTGTCACTCAAGGCTGGGTCCACAGAGGCCCCCAAACCACCGTGACCCTTGCTCGGGCTGGGGGTCCAGCCCCTTGGCCCAAGCACCCCAAGGCCCTGTCAGGATGCCTATTTGGGATTTGTTTATTTTTTTTTCTATCTGTGATTTGAATCTCCCTTCTGCCCACCTACTAGCCCCTGAGCCTACTAGGGCACCCCAAGGGCACTTCCATTACCAAATGCAAAAGGCCCCAGGTAATTCCCCACGTGCCAAGCCTTCACCCTGCCTGGCACCCTGGCCCTGGCTCTCTTGCTCCCTGCACTTGTTCGGACATTCTACTTCTTTTGCTCTAGGGTGTCGCTGACCCACTCTCCATTTCTCTCAAAGCTCTGGGCTCTGTCTCCTGAGGGGGACCACCTTCCCCACTGTGCCTCTGGCAGTGCCCCCTCCCCCGCCACTGCAGTGGCCAAAGTAGTCAGGGGGCCGGCATCCCTGAGGGTTGGAGTGGCACCCGTGCCACCTCTGGGCCCTGTGCCTGGGGAGGATTTGAAACTGGAAGGTCTGGGTTGGAGCCAACGTGCCGTGTCCAGACCCATGCCAGCCTGGCCCAGGGCCCTGGGCCGATGAACCTTATTTTAAGCCTTACTCTACTAACCCCAGTTTGGGGTCCAGCCCCTATGACCCTTACTTTCTTTTAAAAATTGAAAACATAATGAAATGCAAAACGACACATGCGCCTTACAAAACCCATTGAAAACACAGACGAGGCACCGCTGGACCGGCCCCAGCTCGGAAGGCCTCCTGCAGACTCCTCTCTGGGCGTGTCGTGCACACACGTGTGTGCAGTGCACCCGTGCGAGGCGCCCTCACACACCCGGTGTCTGGACTTACCAGCGAGGGTCATGTTTCCGGATCTGCAGGCTGAGCCGGACTGAGAGTCACACAGTAGGTCTGTCACCAGCTCAGCTCAAGGTCGCAAATCTGAGAAACAGAGAGCACGTAGGTGCAGAACAGCCACCGAAGGAGGGTCTTCGGACAGAGGGAGGGACTCTAGAACGCACCCCCGCTGCGTCCCCTGTCCCCTCCAGCTCCCTTCTCCCAAACCCCAGGCCCCTTCCCAGTCGTGCCAGCCAAGCCCCGTCTCCACGTGCTAGTAACTGGCTTCCAGCCGCGCGCGCGGCCCCTGAGCACGCAGACCTGAGTGTTCCCAGCGGAAGGCCTGGAGCGGGGCCATCCTGTCCCTGGGCAGCTCGGCGGCCGGGCCCAAGGTTAGGGTGAGACAGAGCCTACGTCGAAATCCCCAGAGGCTCTTGCAAAATAGCTCCCTGTCCCGACTTCTCCCTCACCTGCCTCGCCTCCCTATGAAGGCGTGCGGAGAGGGAAGGGCGGATGATGGCACCATGTCTGTCCAGACCCCCTCACTCCTGCCCCCAAGCACCACTGTCCCAGGGCTTCTTGGCCTCAGTTAAGACAAATCTGAGCCTGAGAAGAAGAGACAGCCGTGGAACAACGTCAGCCGAGCGCGGTCGGTGCGGAGAGGGAAGCGGGTGATTACAGCGGGCATCGCGCCCCCCAAGACAGTCCTGAGAAACGCCTCGGTCACCGCGTTTCTTCAGTGAGTGAGCGCCAGAGTGCGATGGCACCCCCCGCGCCGGAGCCGCCCACGCGCCTAGCTCTGCGGTGCAACCTGCCCGCCACCATCGTGGGAGAGTGGCCCGGCGCGACCGGCGTCCTGGGGGCCACAGCTGTGGTGGGAGCAGAGACTCGGGGTCCGCACTCACCGTGATGCCTGGGGGCCAGGGAGGTCCCCGGTATTAGCCACGCCCGGGCCAAGTTTTAAGTGACGAGTCAGAACTAGGCAGGAGCAGGCAGGGAGGACTTTCCGCCCAGAGGGAGCACGGGCAGCCCAGCGTCCGGGGGTTCAGGGGACGGATGCTAAACCGGAGGCGTGGAGGAGGAGGAGGGAGGTGAAGCCAGCGAGGCGGGGAGGGAGCTGCTGCAGGGACGGCCTTGGCCACCGTCGGTGACGCAGCCCTCAGGGACGTGCAGGCAGCTGGTCAATACTCTTTCTGGGTGCGTCTGAGGCTGGGGGAGAGGCTAGGGAGGAGATTAGCATTGGCTGGTAGACTGCAGGGGGCTCGCCCTAGCCCGTGGGGTGGGCATCGCTGCCCCCATGAAGCGTCTGACCTGAACAAGGAGGAGGGGTGGCCGGGAGCCTGCACGCTGTCCCCGGGACATCATCACCTCCCGCCCTCGGACACGGGAGCTCCCGGCTCTGGAGTCGTCTCGCTTGGGGTGGAACTTCAGCGCTGGCGCCCAGGCCTCCAGCTTGCAGCTGGCTGACTGATCGTGGGGTTTCTCACGCTCCATAACCGCCCGAGCAACCCTCATAATAAATCTTTCTATATATACCCTGGTGCTCGTGCTTCTCCGGAGAACCCTGACGCGCGCAGCCGTTCTCAGCGGCCATGGCGGCCTGGAGGACGCCGTGAGCCGGCGGCCGCCGTGTCTTCCTGGGCCACGGGCCTAGAGGCTTAGGGTCTTCCTCATTGGGGGGCTTCCTCAGGAGACGAGGGTGCAAACTGACCAGGGGCAGGCAGGGGAGCGACGGCAGTTGTGGGTTCAGCCCGGTTTCAGGGGCAGTTCCAGGGTGGAATCAAGCACAGACTTGGCCTCCCGGCCGCCACGCCACTTGCCACATCTAGGCCTTGCTTTCCCCACCCCGGCTCTGCAGAGCTGTATGAACTCGGTGAGCGCCTAAGAGAGGGGCTCCTGGAATCCTTTTCTCTGCCTCTGTCATCAGGGTGCACGCCAGGGGCCACGCCCCTGCTCCCCTGCTTCAGAGTCCCCCCTTCAGGCCCTGCCCCGCTCTGTGAGGAAGGGCCTTCGTCCTCGGTGGCAGGTGAGGAAACTGAGGCTCGGGGCTAGATGTGACTTGCTCAGGCCACACAGCTAGAGAGTGTGCGGGCAGAGCTGGGGCCATCTCCCACTGGCCCCGCGGTGCTCTGTTCCTGCAGGGGCCCCACCCCTGGCATTCTTCTCTTTGTGCTTGGAGCCAGGGCCCCCACACACACCCCGGGCAGCACAAAGGGTCTCTCTCCTCCGAGCCAGCTGACCCGGGCAGTACCAGTGAGTCCCTGAGCAGGGCGGGGCTGGGTGCCTGGGCGCGACAGGCCGGGCCACTAGGCCCCATTCCGCACAGTCTCCACTCATGTCCAGGCTGATGGAGGCGCCAGCTGGCAGGCAGGGCACCCTTGCCAGGAGAGGCAGGGCCTGGATCAGCACTGGGGTCCAGAGAAGTGAAAGGGGGCAGAGAGGACAACCTGAGGAAGGATGGGCTGAACTGGAGGACTTCAGCTCACGTAGACGGGGACCCTGCCCCCGGAATAGGCGGGAATGGAAGACCCCACACTTTGCAGGTGACAGTCCCTTTCTCCCTGTTCACCTTCCGTGGGCCTGGGCTGGGCGGCAAGGCAGGTAGCATCAGCTGGGGTTCAGAGACATTAAGGTTCTTGGCTGAGATCACACAGCTATTTGGTGATGGAAATGGCTCTAGGATCCAGGTCTTCCCACCTGGAAGCCGTAACTAATGGAGGGTCCAGGAGCTGAGCGTGGCTCCTCCGTGGTCCTGGGGCCTCAGGGGAAAGCAAGCCAATCTGGCTTGAGAAGATGGTTTAGTTAAAATATGCATTGAGTTCTTTCGACACAGAAGATACTCTGCTGGGGGTTTCAGGAACAGGGGGAGTCAGGCAAAGCACAGAGGCAGAGAAGGGAGGTAAGGCAGGGACAGGAGGCAGCCCAGGGATGGGCAGAGGCTCACGTGGCTGGAGGGGGTTTGCAACTGAAAGCGCTGGTTTCACAGGGTTGAAATCTGCATAATTAAAAGGGTGTATTTATAGAACATCTACTATGTGACAAACACTTTCACTTGAATTTTCACAATAACCTGGTGAGGTAGGAATTACTATCCTGGTCTCATAGGGGAGGGATGGAAGCTCAGAGAGGCTAAGAGACATTTTCAAGGTCATTCAGCATAGTAGACTGAATGGTGTCCCCCCAAAGGTCTGTCTATATCTGCACCCCTGTGACTTGAGGATGTGACTATTTAGAGAGGGTCTTTGCAGATTTAATTAAGGATCTCAAGATGGGTGGCACCTAAATCCAAAGATAAGTGTCCCTGTAAGAAACTTACATAAGAGAGACACACAGCGAAGAGAAGCCACATCACCACAGAGGCAGAGATGGGGGAAGGCAGCCACAGCCAAGGGATGCCTGGAAGAGGCAAGAGGATGGTCCCCCAGAGTCTGTGGAGGGAGTGTGATCCTGCCAACACCTTGATTTTGGACTTCTGAACATCAGAAGTGTGAAGGAACAAACTTTTTGTTGACTTAAGTCACTAAGTTTATGGTAATTTGTTATAGCAGCTACGGGAAACTCATACACCCAGCAAATGAGAGAAGCCGGGGTTCAAACCCACGAACAGGGTCAGATTTGTTCCTGAAGCTAACCTGTGTGTGGTACTGCCTCCTGCAACGTTTCTGTTGCATTCAAGGCCCACCCAAAAGATGTTGCTGCCCATGGACCATTCTAAGACAAGATATAAGGGGGTAGGGGCACCCATGAAAGCAAAGCACAGCCACCGCAGGGAGACAGCCACCGCAGGGAGCCTACTTTATCCTTACTGAGTCTGTGGCCTCAGCCTTGGGTAGAGTCCCCACCTGCCTTGCCTGGCTGGCAAGGACACCAAGTTGTGTCACTCATGCAACCCAGATGACACACACTTCTTGGAGGATCTGCTTATGCTGACTGGTGACTGGAGGCCCTTCAGAACAGCTCCGAGGCATCTGTTCTTCCATCTTGGATTCCCCTAGCCCAGGACTAGGGCTAGGGGACTGGCATATCCAGTCAACCCAGCAGCCCACAAGCCAGCCTTAGCCCTAGATGCCTGGGCTCCTCACGGTACTGCGGCCCTGTCCAATGACTGAGTCATTTGGGTCCTGTTGTCTAGCCACAGCAAATCCCTGCATGGAGTGGGGACGCCAGGCTACGCCGGGACAGCCAGAGAGGGTGCTGAGGGGTGTTACTGACCAAGGTCAGAGGAGACAGCATGTCAGGATTTGAGGGGGGCCAGGATGAAGATTCAGGGGCAGTAGGGGCCAGAGTAGAAGTGAGGTCGTGAGGGCAGGCCCAGCAGTAGAGGACTCTCCAAGATGTCAGAGCAAAACAAGACCAAGCCCCGGCTGAGGCAGGCCCCTGGCCCGCCCAATGCCTAGGGTAGCCCTGAGGAAGACCGGGAAGATGGCCACAACTCGAGGTCAAAGGGCCCCGGACTGGAGGCTATGAAACTAGGACAGAACCAGAGCCCAGGGCGGCAGCCTCCTGACTCCCGCCCAGCGCTGCTCCCAGGCCTTGTGATGGACACAGGCTGTCTGGCCATACCAGGGCACTGACAGATTCAGCATAGCAGGCAGCACACAGACAGGCTGCAGGTGGCGGAGGTGAGGGTGTGATGGGGCCATTAGCAATTGAGTTTCTATGATGCCTCTTTGCAATGACTTTGGATCTCGACTGTGGGCTGGGTTTATTGGGGAACAGAGGGGGCCCTGTGGGCATGCAAGAAGCTTTAGGACCATTTGTTAAAAAATTAGAGACCACCAGACCAGGGCAAATTTGTATTTGACCTTCTGTCCTGTAAGACGCAACTGATGCCTGAATACGGGAACAAAGGAAAGGGTGACACTGATGATGCACCCCCCACTTCCTGAGCACCTGCCTTGCACCAGGAAATATCATGACATTATCTCAATTTGTTCAACAAGGTTCTTGTATAGTGAGGAAATGTAGCCCAGTGGATGCAGAAATAGGCAGAGAGGGGCAGAGCTGGGCTTTGCCCAGTGCAGGTCTGGCTCGAGGTTATGCAACTAGCGTGAGGGCCACATGGCAACAGCAGTTTGGGGCAAGATCAG